ATGTTTCCATCATTCACAGAGATATAGGCTGGTGGTGTGCAAGAATAGGTCTAATATATATCGAGAGAGTATATTGGATAAAATTAGGAACATTGAATTGGCAAATTTTCATCGAATCATTAATTTTATGAAATTAGGATTTTTATAATTTCAATTGGGGATTCGTGATCCTAGTGACTTTAGTTTGATTCATTTTAACAAATTAGCTTTTAAACTTGCTTAATTTCATTTACTTGAGTGTTTAAGTCGTTTAATTAGAGAAATTTCGAAATTAGGGTTTCTAATTGAGAAATTAGGGTTTTCAATTGAAATTAGGGTTTTTAGTTGAAATTAGGGTTTTTAATTGAAATTAGGGCTTTTTGCACTTAGATCATATTTTCACTCAATTAGATTCGATTAAGGCTAGATTATATAGAATTGAACTACTCAATCTCTGAGGGACGATATTCGGACTTTTAAAAATCCACTTTATTACTTGTTACGAACCGTACACTTGCGGTAGTTTTAAATCGAAAGAATTATTTCGTGAACAATTATCACCGGGCTTTTGCAGAATGAATGAAAAACACTGTGTACGTAAACTGAAGAAGTCCTTGTACGGACTTAAACAGTCACTAAGAGCATGTTTCGACAGATTTGCAAAGGTGTTGAAAGGTTCAGGATATCGATAAGGACAATCAGATCACACTATGTTTCTTCAACAGTTTAAAGATAATTCTAAAACAATTTTGATCGTACATGTCGATATAATTCTAACGAGAGACAATACAGTGGCGGAAAGAATAAAGAACCTAGCCACTGAATTTGAATTGAAGGATCTAGGACAAATATGATATTTCTTGGGAACAGAAGTTGTAAGATCGAAGATAAGCCACCTAAAAGCAGTCTACAAAATACCCAGATACCTCAATGGATCCTCAAGAAAATGACTATTCTTCTAGAAAAGTGTAATGAAAGAAGTTGAAGTCTTCACATATGCAAATTGGGCAGGCAGGTACAATAGAAGATAGGAGGTCAATGACAAGATGATGTACTTCTGTATAGGAAAACTTGGTAATATGGAGAAGCAAGAAATATAATGTAGTTGTCAGAAGTAGTGCTGAAGCTGAGTTTAGAGCCATTGAACAAGAAACATGTGAAGGATTGTGGTTAAGAAAGCTCTTGAAAGAACTACAGATCCCAGTAAAGCCTCCAACCAGACTCTAGCAATAAACATTTCCCTCAATCCAGTTCAACATAACCAAACTAAGCATGTAGACGTAGACACACACTCCATAAAAGAATAGGTTGAGGAGGGAACGATATGCATGTCCTACGTTCCCACACGAGACCAAACTGCAGATATTTTTACTAAAAGACTACCTCGACAAAAGTTTGATGATTTCATAAGCAAGTTGGATATGATTAACATTTATGATCCAACTTGCGGGAGACTGTTAAAATCCCGAGATTTATCAGGGAAGAGACTAATTTGATTCTCCTTACCATAGTAGTGTAAATTATATTATTTGATTTCTTGCTATAAATCCTAGTTGATTTTTAGGGAATATGTTGTTTCCTTCTTTACTTCATTACTTAAACTATAAATAGGGATCATTAGAATGTACAATTACTAACAAGAAATACAGAAAAGCTTCTGATTTCAAAGAGCATAGCCAAAAGAAATCTTTTGCTACTATCCTTAAGCTAAACAGAACTCCAATGACCATAAATTCATAGCTAAGAAACCTTTTATGCATGTAGATGAGCCTACCATTCAGTTTCTGTTGAAGAGGAAGTTATTATTTTCAAGCCATACAAACACACACTTGTTGGCAAAATTTCTCATCTCAAGCTTTCTAGGATTAAGGTTCGCGATGGTTTCCAAAAATTTGGTTATCACATTGGTTTTATCCCGAAGAGGGAAAGCACTTGCAGATGGACGAACTTCAAACCAATTATGTGCAGTGTTTAACAAGCTTATCACTAAGATGTTAAATACTCGATTGAGTACTCTACTGTCACTTATTATTTCTCCTAACGAAGTGTTTTTATCCCTAGGCGCCTCATTGGGGAAAAAAATTTGGCTTCAAAATTTCTCAATACTCTAGGTACTAACTGAGATGAAGGAAGACATGCTAGCTTGATATGGCTAAAGCATATGAATGCATAGATTGGAGCTTTCTCAATTCTATCCTTGGTGGCTTTGGATATTGATCGTTTATAGATTGATAGAATCAGGCAACATATTTCGAAATGCTGATTTTCAATATTCATGAATGGTCGCTCCTATGGTGTCTTCCCCTTCACGGGGTCGAAGGCAGGGCGATCCTATCTCACTATTTACCTTCAACATTGTTGTTAACTAATCTCGGCTTCTCATGCAGCAACTTTAGACTCACCTATTACATTCTATCGACATGGAGGTAGTTCTCTTGTCCCACATCTCTCTTTTGCTAATAACATGATTATATTCGCCAACAGCACAAGTAGTCTATTAGAAGGATACTTAACTACTTGGAGCATTATGAAAGCGTTTATAGACAATTAGTGAATAGAGATAAAGAGTGGTCTTATTCTGCCTCGCAAGGCATCTATTAGTTAGATCACGAGGTTAGAGCATTTGATGGGCTTCAGGCACCAACAACTACCTCTCGCTTATCGGGGATCCCTTTATATAAGAGGGTTCAATGGGTTTTCTTATATGATGACCTTATTCAAAATTTCGATAACAGGATATCTAGCTAGACTTCTCACTTATTATCTTTTGGTGGCCAGATCACCCTATTGATATTCATTCTCGGGTCTATTCTACTTTAATTCAGATCATGCAGCTTACTAAGGCTGTACTGAAGAAAATGGAGAGTACTTTTGCATGATTTCTCAGGGATTCTAAGGTTTAAGCACACAGACTACATTAGAGACAACAGAAAGATCTTTGCTTACCTATTGATGAGGGTGGACTTGGTTTTAGGAGATTGCATGACAATGTTGATATTTTTTCCCTAAAGCTATGGTGGCTTTTCTGTTCGCAGAAATTTTTATGGGCTTAGTTCTTATTGAACAAATATTGTATGGGGGCTCATCCTCTTCTTGCATCCGTTCCTTGTTCAGCTTCACCTATTTGGAGGAGGTAGAAACTGGTTGGACCTAAGGTCGGGCCACACATTGCAGGGCACCTAGGAGATGGATAGATATTCTAGCATGATTGTTTAATCAGCGATGCCACTTTGGCAACTTTATTCACCTATTGTCGCACTCTTTTGCAAGAGTTTAGGATTTTTATGATGCTCAGGATGGGACATTGCACAATTGTTACAGGTTCTCTCTATCCATGGTCAAGCAAATTGGAGCTATACACCTATGGGATCATGCTCCTGATTGGATTTTTTTGCAAGGATACACTGAATGGTAATTTTTGCTACCAAGTCAACGTGGCAAGAGGTCTGCCCTTTTGTCGCCTCAAAATGAGCAATGGATAATGTGCAGTCCCATTATACCTACTATAGTTTCCTTCTTCTGCTTGGAGACTGGCAGAATTTGATACCGATACATATAACCATTTAGAGGAGAGATTGTCATATGGCCTCCGATTTTAGTACTGCTCCAAGATCAAGACTACACATTTTTTCACCAGAAGTACCATTTCTGATCAGGAATGGCATCATTTTGGGGCTATATTTCAGGTACCTATGGGATCTAGTAAGGGAGTTAGATCCAAGTTCCATAGATGAAGATACTCAAGTCAGTATGTTTCCAAGGGCCACATTCGCACAGTCATCCCCTTGCTTATTTGTTGTTATTATGGCTTGCAAGGAATGATGCGAAGCACAACGAGATATGTATGGAGCTTAGTGGATAACTTGGAGAGGCTATTGCAAGATCCCATTTCTTTATATTGGTCGCTTATTCTGACTTATCCATAGGCGGGGTCACTCAACTATCGCCTCATCCTTGGGGGTTTCTTTGACGCTTCCTCCCTTTGTATCCCCTATTTTGGTATTTTTGGCGTAATTCGATGATTTGATCTCACAAAATCATGTCAAGGATGACTTTGCTAATAGTGGTGGCATTATTCGCGACCAGGACAAACATTGCATTAGGGCCTTCTCAATATCTCATGGAAACTACCTTATCTTGGAGGCTTGAGCTTGGGGCAATCTTTGATAGGATTTCAGTTGCTTGACAAACGGGCTTATCAGACATTCAGGTGAAGACTAACTCATTTGTGGCCCTTCACTCCATCACTAGGGTGGAGGACCATGGGCAATTCAAATCATTCTTAGATGGCTCAACATCTCTCTTTTGACCATAATATTATTTCCCACACTTATTGTGAGGGGAACCAGGTTGCCAATTCATTAGCATCCAAGCGCTAGAACCAACATTACTATCAAGAATTTGGACCACTTTAACCTACCACGAGCTTATAGGGCCCTTGTGCAGATTGACAGATATAGACTACCCACTATTAGAGGACATTAGCTCTTATCTCGCTCACTTTTTTTTGTATTGGAAGTAATGCCTCCCCTCTTATTCCTGTCCTTCATTTGTTGTATTTCTTTGCCTTAAGGGGAATCTGAACCCCTATCAGCCTTCCCTGGTGGTCCTAAAACCTGACAAAGCTTATGTTGATGTGGTTCTTAAACAAAATACAGTCTATGACACCATTCATTGAACGAGATTAACTATTGATAATAACTGAAATAGAGAAAGAAGTGAGGAGGAGGAGGAGAAAAAGAAACTATATCTTATTGTTAAACCCAAAATTAGTGCGTATTTTTGGCAAATCTTCAATGAAATCTGAATCACTTGTAGTTATAATACTTTAGGTCCCAACTTTGCGCCTTACAATTTTCTATTCCTTTTGCCCACAATTATAACTTAAAACACATCTAGAATAAAAATTCAAAATTTTCAACTTAGCCGCATATCAAGGACAAATCCTAAGTTAAGAAACAAATTAAAGAACTAATATCCACATTGATTATTAATAAAAAGCAAGGTAAGTCATGCCACACCTGTAATTCGAAAATCAACTCTGTAGGTCTGTTAGCAGCAACATTTTGGGCTGCGGCATCATTAATAATCTCTCCTGAAGAATGAAGTGAAGAGGTTCCAATTTCTGCCTCCAAAACGACATTATCTTTCTCAGAGGCTGAATAGCTACTATTTGATCCTAGTAGAATGCACGAATCTAAGTACAGTCCATTCTGCAATAACAAGAAGAAGACGAAGACCAAAGTTGGAATGCAATCAAATACTTAAATTTAAATATTCAAACCAAAACCATGAACGACTTACCTTGATAGTAACATTTCTAAATTGTAGTTTCTTTCCGGTTCCCACGTAAACTAAAGCTTCTGTACTTGGAGAACTAAGAATTAGTCCCCATCTATCTTTTAGATACAAAATTCCACCTTGCCCGTCATATATAAAAAGGTCATACTTTTCATCATCGGCAACCATAGGTCCTTGTGGAGAGAGTGAGAATTCAGTACAGGGTTGACAGAAAATCGGTTGGTCAAGTATGAGAGCTTCCACAGAACGCAAAGAGTTAGCATTCTCTTCGTGCGACAGTACACGAATTGTTGGCACAAAAAACTCAACAATAGCAAGCAAAAAGTCAAGAGCAACTAGCAATTGCGGCCTTTGGATGCACAAAGAAATAAATGTTGAATCATCACTAAATCTTGCATCAAGTATAAGCATTGTTGGGACAAGCTTTCTTGCATTTTCCAATATACTGATGTCAACTACATTATAATCCATTTTGTGAGTCACAGATTGTGAAGGGGTATACTCAATCATATCAGGCTTCGCAATGGCCAACCTGAGTTCCTGCTCTGTACCTTCACGATCATCAGTTACAGTAAAATCCTTCAGTGTAGCCGATAGAAAACCTTCCCCTATTGTATTAGATTTGTACAGAAGCCATACACCACTCACCTGAATGACACAATCTCATTAGACTGTAATGATTAAAAAATGTAGCAATGCAAGGGAGATGAATTTTTTTTATCAAAAATGCAACAAAATAATCAATAATAAGAGGGACCAAAAATCAACGAAATAATCAATAATAAGAGGGACGGATTAACCGTTTTATTAAGTATACACTATGATGCTCGGACTCGAGTACGGGTATCCAGTACAGGTACGTATCCAAGTGTCGAATATTTTATTTTTTAAAATTTAGGATATGGGGACATAGTTATAAAGAGTCCAAATTTTAGACACGGGTACGTGGGTACATTTTTCAAATTTCAATTCTCCTTTAATTTATTTATTTTTATTATAGATAAAATGAAAGATACTTTTAATATTTTTTTTTTTTTTAAGATTCAGTATTTTCTGAATAGTGGCCAAGGTTGGGGCTTCTTTTTATAAAATTGGGCCTCACTTGAGTCCAAACAGTTCCTAGGAAAACTTAACCCTAATATTGTATGAAAAGCCATTTATTTTTTACTGGACTCCACGTCTTAAGCCCATTTTATAGTCTGACCCAAATCCTCTATTAAAACTCTATTTCTCTCTCCCCTCATCTCATTTCATAGCCGGCTTCTTCCCATCAAGCAAAGAGAAGACGAATGGAATGTAAAATCCGAGAAGGAAGCAGGATTTGTATTCAAGTCCCACACCTATCACCACAAGGGTCCTTCTCGATTCCATTCTCCAGTGTAGGCGAGCACGCGACTCAATTTTTTTGATGGCACAATCGTTTTCAGCCTTCTAGGTTGCCATGTCCGGCTGATTTTTGCCATGTCCGCCCCATATCCCGTACCCACACCCGTGTCGTGTTGGGTCGACACAGGTGCGTCGGCCGAAATGGCGAGTCGGAGCATCACAAAGTATACATGAGGTATAACCATATAAATCTGCAACTAGTGCCAGTTACAACTTTGACAGAAACAAAGTAAAAACCACCTACCGTGTGAAAATGGACCACAGTTTTACCAGTTAGAAATTAAGCCCCCGTTTGGCCCACATTCGCTTTCATTTTTTTTCCTCTTTTATTTTCAACCACACAATCTTCCATAAAATAATATTACACTTAAATTGAAAATTTTTCATTCTTTTTCAACCACACATTTTTCAAAAAAACACTTCCAAATATTAAAATTTGGAAAAAATGGGGACCAAACGGGAGCTAAGTGGGATCATGAGCCTTTAACGGGTACTATACAGAACAATTTGGCAATCTAGCCCAACAATGCAAAATCAAAGTCAAGAATATCATATTTGATAGCATACCTGTTCTTGCTCATAATTAAAAGGCAAAACATTAGGACTCCTAAGGCTATAGTGCAAATGTGAGAATTTTGATTTTTACCATTAATATGACAAATTTTCAGAAAGTTGAGTGAAATTAAGAAAAACTAAGTTTCAGCAGATAGCCATTGTCCACGATTAATTTAAGCAAATAGCACAGAATTGGTGCCACAATAAGATTGTGCAGTTCAGCAAAATGACCCAATTTTACCAGACAAAGTAACAAACTGGGACACCCATGGTTCATAGAGAAGACGACTGAGATATCCCAAAAGTTTGAAAAGGCACACTCTATTGTGCCGTATGGTTTTTTGTGCCTCAAGAACGATGAAGATAACAAATAGAATATCTAGGGCACCCAGGCACTGTTTTAAACAAATGTGGTTTTGCTAAATGTTGACCACACTCCTCTTTTTAAGACTCAGCCCTATTCTCCCCCTCTAGTTTTATAACCAATTATAACATTGAAAAACACCTTAAGAAAATGATATGTTGAACTACCTGCACGGTGGCAAGAGAGGCATCCCTAGTTACACCATAGTGAAGAGAGAGTTCAACCAAATCTATATCAACAGAAATCTTAGTGGCAATCCATGTTTCCCTGTATTGAGTTCCTGATTTTGTAGAATCTAAAACTTGAGAAATGACTTGTCCTGACACATCAACTGATGGCGATGAGGGCTCATCTTTCAAAGGAGGAACAATATTTGGAGTCTCTGAAATATTAGCTTGTGCACATTCTGTTATCATTTCATACTCTTTGTTAGATAAAGCAGCTTTCAGTTCTTCAATCTGAAATTTTAAAAAATTCAAGTTATCAGCAGATGAAAATAGATATCGCACATCTAAGTGGGTAATGAAATTTATTAACAGAAAAAAAAAATGAAACTAAAAGATTCTATAAAAGATAGGCTCCATCCAGCATCCACCCTCTAAAGAAGTAGGAGATATCTCTAACCTAGCAGCTCTTACAAAAAGAATTGGGTAATCGAATTGAAACACTATATATAGAAAAAGGGCATCATCAAACAACCCATACACCAACAGATGAAAGAAAATGAGGAGAGATCTTGATGCTATAAGCTCTTTGCAGTTTGTAGTAAAATACCTTAACAGAAACTTCTGTACTGGGAATTTGATGCAACAAGTCGCGAAGTGACCTATGAATGACTATAAAAACACCCTGGACGTTTTGTATTATGCTTTCACCCAATTCTGATCCCAAGCCAATATTTAAATTGATATCTTCAACCTACAATATAGCACGTATATTTCATAAGAAAAAATTATATAATAAATTATCCACTTTTTATCCATATCAGCAAATTGAAATTATACGACACTTTGGGTCACATTTTTTCATGGCTAACTAAAGGACAAATTGATGAGAAAGATTCATAAGAAATATAAAGCCAAAGATGTGGATTCTTGAGGCCAAGCCACATGGTCGGTTCCTCCGCTTTTCAGTACAGCTACGAAGTAACATCAGGGCATAAAAGTTATCTTACAAGAACTTGTAATATTTCCACATGTACAGCCTTCAGTTCACTTTTGCTCCCTCCAATCCATCTAAAGGTGTTCTGGACAGTGATTTGAACTACGTCGAGCTCTAAATAACTGCAATAATCACAGAATGAAAGAGGTTCACTACAATAATTTAAATAGTTATTTAACTGCTTTGCATGTATCCCTTGGATGAAAATTTTAAACTCACTCAAGGCTATCTGTCCTCCGAGGCATTAATATGATTGGCTTTTTAAGGGAAAGATCCAACTTCAATGCAGGTGAGCCTTCAATTTCACTTCTTGTAAACCACTTCTCCAAGTTTGTCCCTTGATCTTTCATTCTGACAACATCCTTTGGATTGCTAGGAACAAGACCCATGAAGTAACTGATAACCTGCAAGTAATATTACAATTAATGTCTGTGCGCTGCACACACTCATGACAGAGAAATCGGCAATGGAGAACCAAAAACTGCAAGACCTCTTGAAGGAAACGATTCAAATAAACGATGCGCACTTCCGACAGCTGCCCATGAAGGCTATAATCATAACCTTCATAGTCTTCATCACCAGCACTATATGAACAAAATACCAGCTGCATATTCACAGCAAAATTTTGCATGTTACCAAGAGATGGCATAACCAATCTTAACTCAAAAATAACTCACAGCAGAAAATGCACATGGAGGAATTTCAAATATGGAAGAATTTATCTGCACAATATATAACCTTAACATCAAATCTTCTCCATTACATCTCTGCTAAGTGGTATCACAGAGCATCTATTATTAATAGTATCTTTTCATGTATCAGGCACATTGTAATACCATAAGATATATTGTTAATAATGTCAAACTATAAAGGACAAGACATGTCCACATGACAGAAGATACTGATTCCACATTCCCATGGATTGCTCAACTTTCTGTGGAAATAATATAACTAGGAAACTTTTAGAGTTAAACCTATCATACAGATGAGAAGCCGAATCCCTTATCATAAGTTTCTGAACAAGAAAGATAGGTTAACGTGATTCCATATTAACAAGGATGTCGTGCAAATAAAATGATAAGCTGGAGGCTAAGAGTAGAACAAACAGACGTAAAATACCTCCACAAATGACTTTCCACCCGGATTCCTCATGTCACATGCCCAGAAATACATATGATTGCTATGAAGACTGTCATCACTTATTCTAAGATTTCCGAGGGATGCTTTTATACTAAAAGAGGAAGGAAACACCTAAAAAATGGAGAAATGGATAATTTCAGATTCAGATAAGTATAATATGCTAAACTCAATATGAAAAAAGAAGTGTATTGCACCTTAATTTCAGTAAGAAAATTATCTTGAGATAAAGTAGCAAGCTTATAGCCATTTTCCTTCATCAACAAAATCTCAGCACGAGCCATATTCAACTTTAAATAGAAAACGACTCTAGATTTTCCCTTTCCCAACAAAGATTTGACTACAGGTTCCTCAACTGCACCCGACTGACCATCATGTGTATTCTCCTTGGACATATCATTTGAAGCAACCGCTGATGAGGAAGCATCACTGAAAGATTCACAGCTTTCTTCCTGAGTGTTAATAGAATTCGCAAACTCCATGATGGCAAGTATAGTGGGCCTACGACAAAAAAATGACAAGGTGGAGAGGGTCACAGCCACCTGTAAAACACAGGAGAAGACAAATCAGCAGATCTCATATATTGTAAAACCATTTTTATGGTCTCATAGTGTGCCAAGTAGATAATAAAACGAGTCATTAAATAGAAATGAAAACCAGAGTTTTATCTCGAACAAGTGAGATTACACACAGACGAATTATTTGGATAAATTACTTGACGAAATGCATAGTGTGGACATTGGAGATTTTCTGACACTGTAGATTTGAATTTTAAGTATATAAATAGAACTCAAAAGTCTTGAAAGTGAGGGCGGCTGTGAAGAGGAAGAAGATGAATAAAATAATTGCCCCAGCTGGAACTCCTATAGATAAATGGGGTGTCGGGATGAGGGAGGTACTTTATGGGATAACAAAAGTTTCAAAATCTTAATGAGATGATAGAGAATGGCTGTAGAGAGTCAGGAGTCATAATACGAAATTATACAAATATATCATTGAACATAGATGAAGGTGTAATTCAAAGGTATTAGAATAAACTTCATGCTACAGAGGATCTACTATATAGGCTATATACTTAGAAGTGAAGATGGACAAAGAAGAATGAAAAAGATCCCATATGGTTTTATTAATTTACAAAAGGCCTGCGGTAGGGTACGCACCAAACAGCTATGGTAGGTGCAACAAATAATGATATATTTACTAAGAATATGTATGCTGGAGCAGTCACAAGCATAAGATGTAGTGCATGTTTGATAAAGCTTGTATTATAAATTAATTTGATCAAAAATACTTATTATTCACACATTTGCTTTCCAAAAACGATTAATACACCAATCTATTCATAATGATACCATGAGCACTTTAGGGCTTCCTGATTCCTTGACACCGAATTCAATTTAGTGGGATCTTTCACCGGTGCTTCACTTTTCTAAGTAATGGGGAAGAGCAGGGAGAAAGAGAGAGAGAGAGAGAGAGAGAGAGAGAGTAAATAAATGAATAAATAAATAAAGGAAGAAGAAGAAGATTTGAATTTAAAATCTTTTCAGAAAGCCAATTCTTCTTTTTTAAGAAGGAAATAATAAAATGATTTTCCAAGCCGTAAAAAACACTCTATTTAGAAAATCTCAAATCTCTCTCGACCCCGAGAATGTACCAAAATCAATTTTTTTGGCGCAACAAGAATTTGTATAAAAAACCGTTTCAATATCAAAAACAACCTTGGAGGATTAAAAGCATGACTCTTGCATAGAACCCACAACTACTACACGCTTATTATTTATACGTGACATAGTACCCACAACTTATAATCACTCCTAAACATGCTAGTATTAGTGATAGTGATGTAAGCGCGAAAGCGTAAAAACAATTTGCAAACACCCTATCGAAGTTCCGTTGATTCCAAAGGAATACTGCAACACAATCTTCTAATTTTTGTTGATTCCTAATATTACTAGAAATCTAGGCGTCAAAATTCTTTGATATTTGGACTCGTTCATTTGAAATATCAAAATACCAAAAACTTGAGAGACTGGAGAAGATCTCAATAATTATATTTTTATTTCAATTCAATTTCCCCCACTGCGATTGCTCAACTTTCTGTGGAAATAATATAACTAGGAAACTTTTAGAGTTAAACCTATCATACAGATGAGAAGCCGAATCCCTTATCATAAGTTTCTGAACAAGAAAGATAGGTTAACGTGATTCCATATTAACAAGGATGTCGTGCAAATAAAATGATAAGCTGGAGGCTAAGAGTAGAACAAACAGACGTAAAATACCTCCACAAATGACTTTCCACCCGGATTCCTCATGTCACATGCCCAGAAATACATATGATTGCTATGAAGACTGTCATCACTTATTCTAAGATTTCCAAGGGATGCTTTTATACTAAAAGAGGAAGGAAACACCTAAAAAATGGAGAAATGGATAATTTCAGATTCAGATAAGTATAATATGCTAAACTCAATATGAAAAAAGAAGTGTATTGCACCTTAATTTCAGTAAGAAAATTATCTTGAGATAAAGTAGCAAGCTTAGAGCCATTTTCCTTCATCAACAAAATCTCAGCACGAGCCATATTCAACTTTAAATAGAAAACGACTCTAGATTTTCCCTTTCCCAACAAAGATTTGACTACAGGTTCCTCAACTGCACCCGACTGACCATCATGTGTATTCTCCTTGGACATATCATTTGAAGCAACTGCTGATGAGGAAGCATCACTGAAAGATTCACAGCTTTCTTCCTGAGTGTTAATAGAATTCGCAAACTCCATGATGGCAAGTATAGTGGGCCTACAACAAAAAAATGACAAGGTGGAGAGGGTCACAGCCACCTGTAAAACACAGGAGAAGACAAATCAGCAGATCTCATATATTGTAAAACCATTTTTATGGTCTCATAGTGTGCCAAGTAGATAATAAAACGAGTCATTAAATAGAAATGAAAACCAGAGTTTTATCTCGAACAAGTGAGATTACACACAGACGAATTATTTGGATAAATTACTTGACGAAATGCATAGTGTGGACATTGGAGATTTTCTGACACTGTAGATTTGAATTTTAAGTATATAAATAGAACTCAAAAGTCTTGAAAGTGAGGGCGGCTGTGAAGAGGAAGAAGATGAATAAAATAATTGCCCCAGCTGGAACTCCTATAGATAAATGGGGTGTCGGGATGAGGGAGGTACTTTATGGGATAACAAAAGTTTCAAAATCTTAATGAGATGATAGAGAATGGCTGTAGAGAGTCAGGAGTCATAATACGAAATTATACAAATAAATCATTGAACATAGATGAAGGTGTAATTCAAAGGTATTAGAATAAACTTCATGCTACAGAGGATCTACTATATAGGCTATATACTTAGAAGTGAAGATGGACAAAGAAGAATGAAAAAGATCCCATATGGTTTTATTAATTTACAAAAGGCCTGCGGTAGGGTACGCACCAAACAGCTATGGTAGGTGCAACAAATAATGATATATTTACTAAGAATATGTATGCTGGAGCAGTCACAAGCATAAGATGTAGTGCATGTTTGATAAAGCTTGTATTATAAATTAATTTGATCAAAAATACTTATTATTCACACATTTGCTTTCCAAAAACGATTAATACACCAATCTATTCATAATGATACCATGAGCACTTTAGGGCTTCCTGATTCCTTGACACCGAATTCAATTTAGTGGGATCTTTCACCGGTGCTTCACTTTTCTAAGTAATGGGGAAGAGCAGGGAGAAAGAGAGAGAGAGAGAGAGAGAGAGAGAGAGTAAATAAATGAATAAATAAATAAAGGAAGAAGAAGAAGATTTGAATTTAAAATCTTTTCAGAAAGCCAATTCTTCTTTTTTAAGAAGGAAATAATAAAATGATTTTCCAAGCCGTAAAAAACACTCTATTTAGAAAATCTCAAATCTCTCTCGACCCCGAGAATGTACCAAAATCAATTTTTTTGGCGCAACAAGAATTTGTATAAAAAACCGTTTCAATATCAAAAACAACCTTGGAGGATTAAAAGCATGACTCTTGCATAGAACCCACAACTACTACACGCTTATTATTTATACGTGACATAGTACCCACAACTTATAATCACTCCTAAACATGCTAGTATTAGTGATAGTGATGTAAGCGCGAAAGCGTAAAAACAATTTGCAAACACCCTATCGAAGTTCCGTTGATTCCAAAGGAATACTGCAACACAATCTTCTAATTTTTGTTGATTCCTAATATTACTAGAAATCTAGGCGTCAAAATTCTTTGATATTTGGACTCGTTCATTTGAAATATCAAAATACCAAAAACTTGAGAGACTGGAGAAGATCTCAATAATTATATTTTTATTTCAATTCAATTTCCCCCACTGCCATTAACGCTTACAATAATGATTAAAATTAATAACAATCTTCATCAGATAGGGATAGAGACTTACCTATTAGTGTATTATCAAAGTCTATGCCTCAAGTCTATATATTTGCTTTAGTTGTGGATGAGCTGACGAATTGTATCCATGAGGTCCTTTAGTGATTTTACATGTTGATAAAACCTCAATAAATGAGACTATGATAGGTTAAAATGTAAGTTCGATATTTAAAAGAATACTTTAAAATGTGTGTTTTACGTTAAACAGAATTACTAGGGACCACGTGGAACCTTTAGTAATAGTATGAATAGTGTAATAGTAGAGTCAATATGGAGGATCGTCTCACCCCAAACAATGATTGGTTTAGGTAATTTGGTTCAATTATATACAACGAAGATTTGAAGTAGGTACAGTCCAAAGGATTGGTGTAGGTTGGATGAAATTGAGAACTGTAATCGGTATCCTATGTGAGAGGAGGATCCCTACAAGGTTAAAAGGTTCATTTGATAGAACAGTTAATAGACCTTGCTTAAGGAACACAGCATCAAGTAATTTAGGTAGGATGAATGTAATGGATATGTCGATGATAAGATGGTACAGTTTGCTGCTGCTATTGGAACAATATAGTTGGTTTTATATAAAACATCTTGGGGAATGCATCTGCATACTGCACAAATGGAAAGACATGGATAATCAAAGAAGAAAGAGAAGACAGAAGATAACCTATAGATCATGGAAAGGAAAACTTGTGGAAGAGTTTCCTCGAGGAGAATCGAAGTTGAATAGTGGTAAAATTCTTATGGAACTAAACTTGTGCAAAACTTTGCACTATTAAATCGTGCTTATCATGTTAAATTAAGATCTAGATCTCCAAATTGCTTTAGGAGTTGATTAATTTGCCCCTTGTTTTATGACCATTTTAGAGTACATTTTGTTCTAATTCGCATGTAAAATCCTATTTCAATTTCGATTTGATGAAGCTAGGCCTAGAAGCTTATAAATAATGGTCCACTAGTTGGAATTTAGCATTACACATCAGTTCTGATGTATGGCTCTTCTGCAGAATTTTCTTAGCAGACTCCTCTCTCATGAAGAATGGGCCAGATTGTCAAAATACACAGTAATATACATAAGTCCATGCATTTTGTTAGAAAGCAGTTAAA